GGCTGCCGGGCTGGGGTGGACTGGGATGGGGCGTTCTCCCTTCTCCCCAGCCGCCCCCGAGCCTCGTCTGCGGGCGGGTGGGTGTGTGGCTCCGCACACCCGCTGCTGAAGGCCCAGTACTGCCTCTCGGTGCTTTCGTTCCGTTCGTCCTCTGTAAGAAATGACGGGGCTGCTGGAGGCTGATTTCTCCGAGCGAGTGCTTTTCTTGGGGGCGAGTCTATTGTGTCTCGTGTGCGTGTTTATTTTTACTTATAGAGCTTAAGCCTACGACTGTAGGAGATGGTGAGTCTGCTGCTTCAAGGACCCTACTCTATCTAGAAGTAAATGTGTGGCAAAAAAGAAGACGCGAGAAAGCCCTGGTCTGCCTGAAAGGCTGCCTGCTTCTTCCAGTCATAGTAGTAGATCTAATAAAAGATATTACCTCTGCCTCCAAACTTTATAATGCCAAAAAAAGAACAGCTGTCAGTGAGGAGATCGCTGTGTATCAGTCTTTAACTGCCTGCATAAGGAGTCTGATGTAAACTATGATGTCGTATGAGAAGCTGCTATCTTACTGAACTTCTTAAGAGGTCATAAATGGAGTAATAGTGAGGGAATTAGTGCATGTCTTATGTAACCCTCAGTAAACTTGCATGTACTGTACTCTTTCTATTTTAAGAACTCTATTAGCCTAAACTGGATAAAGTTACAAGCATATTTCTGCAGAAAATTAGGCTGCGTGTGTCCTGGATCAGCAATCTGAAGTGTTGCATCCTGACTAACTGAAAGCTCTTTAGAATTAAGGTAGCCTTTAAAAATAACAACCCCTAAGCATAAATTCATAATGAAATTTCATCACTTTCAGATTTTTAAAGGCTACAAGTAGCCTTGGGAGATACTTATATTCCTGCTCTAAGATCTGTCTTACACAAACAGGAGATTTGTCTTTTCTCTGAGAACTGAGCTGCTTATCAAAGATGAATGAATGTATCTTATGATGAGTAGTATTCTGCTAAAGATACAATGCAGGATCATATTAACTGAATGACAGGAATTAAACTGCTTTGGTCTCATGCATATGAAAAATGTGCCCCAAAGCAGCCTTATTAACCCCTTAGAATGTGGCATTCCATGGGATAAAGCATCTTGAGGAAGGTAGGAAGATGTGATCCAGGACATCAATCAACCTAAACAAAGTTTGATCATGCATGTGTAGACACAAAATGTGGATTCCCTAAACTGATCACTTTGATGCGTTCTCTGGATCCCAGCGTTGAAGGAAATGGGTGTCCTAATCTCCTTTTTCTGGATCACTGTAGATCACTGACCCAAAAAAAAAAAAAACCAACTTGAATTGAACTGGTGTTGAAGCTACCGGGTGTACAAGAAGACAGACAAAGGAGTTGGCTGGGTGGGAGGACATAGAACATTAGCAAGTTTTCAGATTAAAATAGAGATAGGAAGCTGTATTGTTTATGTAAAGCATAGTGAGGAGCATAATCTAAGGCATACGATCCGTAGCCTTTTTCTGTCACCAAAAGGCAACGTAAAGAACATTTCCTGCTTGTGATGATTGCCATCAGGCAAGGCAAGACCATGGGCTGGCCCCTCACTGTGCAAAGAAGTTCTTGCTTTCCTGAGCATAATGCTTTCTGCTATTCCTGGTTTTACTGCATTTGAAAGCATAAATGAAGCACCTACTGGTTAAACAGCGGAGTAGGTCTGAAGTAATGGAGACTAAACAATAAGTATTCAGAATGCAGCCATGTCTGTAATTATGCCTCAGTGCAAATCCTGAATTCTCAAACTTTTGTTCAAATAAAGTGAATGAGCAGAAAAGCAGCAGCATTTTGCTTTCAGTCCTTTTGATTATTTACTTCATCTGCTTCCTCTGATATGTCATCAGAAGAGAAACACAGAAAACGCAAAAGATCGTTATGCCTGAAGCTCTAATGTTCTGGACAAGCTGCAGCCTAGTATGCATGCTGATATGGAAGCTAGCTATCTCCCAGCTTTTGAAATATTATTTTACTGTGATTTTTTTTAATGACTTACAGAAGGTCTGGAATTCTTACATGAGTGGGATAATAATGAAATTCTTATGTGCCAGTTTCTTTTCACTTACATGTCTGAGCCTGGAAATGCACTTCCATTCAGGCTATTACTACAGCGAGCGTTATTAAAACCAAACATTCCATAACCTCCTTCCATGAACACTCTGAGGAGAAGGTTATCTGGGATTCTGGCACACGTCAGAAGTGTCTTAGATTCTGCAGCAAATTTGTGCTTGATTTCTGCACAGTGCAAATAAGGACTGATAGCCTTTGGACAGCACTGCTTTAATCTTCCCACAGTTTCAGTACATCTGTATTTACAGGCATTTGTATTTTAAAGCTTCTTGCCAAAGTCATCAACATTTTGTCACTCACACTTTACTTTAGAAAGGCATTATGAAGCATGGTGTCTGTGGAGCCACTCGGAAAAAAACATATATTGAATCTAAATACTTTCGGATATTTTAATCTCTGTTTTGATACTGGTTATCTGGAAGATGTTCGTTAGCTTGGAAGAAAGGGAAGCTGGCAGTAGTCTTCTAGTAGACTGTGCCAGTTTAATTTGTTTACAAATAAAGTGGAAAATTAGTTCTTTCATAGAAGCTGCTGTCAGTATAAGTCAGCATGCTAAAAAGCAACCAGCTTGTCATTCTGCTTTTCACGTGGACTCGGAATAACTTTCTAACACTGAAATTTGAACACAGTGTGTGGTTGGACTGGATGTTTGAGGAAATTTGGGGTCTTTCAGCTTTATGGCTAGAATACAAAAATATTCACAAATACAAATATGAGCAGATTTAACTTTTTACTTATGGTCCATTGAATAGCTGGTATTGAACTGTCCCGGACTAATATGAATACCTAAAAGTGTAATAATGCTACTTTGTATGTGACTGCTGACTATGCAGTCTAAAAGAGGTCTGTTGTTCCTATAACTTCAGGAGCCATATGGTTTAAATGGTGACATCAGGAGCCAGCTGAGAATTAAGAGGTGATGGGTAAAATAAGTTGCAGACAAACATTTTTGATTTCTGGTGGTACTTGTTACCTGTTTGGTGTTTGGGTTCTGGACTGATTATTGGCACAAAAATGGGTAATGTCCAGAAACTGGAGTAAATAATTCTTCATGTTGCGTAGTTTAAGCAAATGAGTAAGGCTAAAAAAATCCGATGTTTAAGAAATTTAGTGTTAGCCATTGGGACCTAGGCTCTTGTATGTGGGAGGGCTTCAGCGTGCTGAAAGGTCCTTGCTGCCGCCAGATGTCAGCAGATACATGGTTAAAATCACTCTTTCTGTGCTTCCTCTGAATTTGTAGCTAATAATGTATCTAGAATTGTTTTTCACTTGTGCTGAATAATTGCATAGCTCTTGTGCTTGTTGCTAGTTCAGCAGCTTGATAAGCTGTAAAGTCTTGTACTCAAAAATGGTATCGGGTCTAGGCATCCTGAATGCAGTTGATACCTTAGGAGAAATGTGACATTTTCCTGCTTCCCGCAGTTGAAGGGACAGTGTTATTTTTTTTATACACTGGAGATGGTTTAGTTGATTCAATGAATGGGGCAGAGTGTACTGAGACTGTACCTCTGTAATTAGCCTGTCTGATCATTCTTCTTTGTTAACAAGGAAGATTTAATACAAAGGAGCACAGACAGATTGACAGCAATTACTTAATGGTCTGTTAATACAGATTTGTTTGAAAATGGTCGGTTCTTACAGAACTTAAACTAGCTATGACTAGAAGAAGACTCACAGAAAGTAGAACTTCATTTTAAGTAGTGCCTTCCATATAAACAGAAAATAATCACAGGCATTTCTATGAGAAGTGAGAATCTTCTTCCTCAAGGTGTAAACTGTGTAGACTTCAAAGTTATGAAATGATTAGCATATAGGAGTTGTGCACTTTACAAAAAAAAAACCAAAACCCACCAACAACCCAATTTCAAAGGACAGTTGGTTCACTGAGCTCTTGCATCTTCAGAACTGAATTGCAACTGCTTTAAACTTTTGTACGAGTTGGCTTTGTCTTGTAACCGGTTACTCTGTGAAGGTTTAAATTTAGCAGTCTGCTGTGGCTTCTGCAGCTATTAATGTACTTTCTCCCTAAATCTGTGAAAAAATGGAGGCTATTTGTATCCAATATAGCAAATAAAGGAATCTGTTAGAAGAGAAAATACTTTTTTTTATATGAAAAGGAGTCTTGCTTCATGTGCACTGTATTGCATAAGTTTTAAAATTTAATTGTGGCTGTCTTCAGATACATAAGCCTTAAACGCTGGAGAAAAACCGTCATGATTTCTTGTTTTTAAAGGCTTCTTTTCTGAGACTAGAAAATACTAACTTGATCTACCAGAATCCCTCTGGAGGCCAAGTTAAAAGCCAGGCACAGGCATTTACAAGTTCCAGTAAAATCAGAGGAAATTGTATCTGCTTACGTATGGATGGATTTCAGCCTACTGTCTCTTGTTAGGCAATATCAGGAGAGTGATTTGTGTATTCCATGGAACATAGCTGCCCATTTTTGGAGTATCATGACCTTTGTTAGAGATGGTGATACCTTAAGCTCAACTACAGCTTCTGCTTCTTGAAATGGAGCAAAACCTGCTAAGAATCTTTTATTACCCAGCAAGTATGCATAAGATGATAGCAAAGTGACTTGTGGCCTTAATTGAGCCTTTAGCTTTTCTTTTTACTTAAATACAGGTTTGTAAGCGAATGGACTTGGTTTGCCAGCGAATGTTAAATCAGGGATTTCTGAAAGTGGAAAGATACCACAACTTGTGTCAAAAGCAAGTTAAAGCTCAGCTTCCAAGGTATGTACCAGTTAAAACTGTAGTTAAACTTAAATGTGCTTTTAAGCAGAATACTGAAAAGGAATTTCTTGCTAGCTGATCCAACTTGCATATCTTGAAAATGTGAATCGCATTTGTTTTAATTCCATTTTTTTCCAAAAGCACCTTGAACCTAAAATCTAATAACAAAATAATAATGTGGATGAACGTAAGTTGTCGTATACGAGGAATTGGAATATTGGAAAGTGTCTCTGGTATTTTAAGCAGAGAACAGAAGAGTGGGTCCTGTATTATCCAACTCTGCTGGGAAATCAAAGACTCCTAGGAATGAATAAATGCCATTCCTTTTCAAGACCAACTCCTTTCACTGATGATTCATCTACGAGACTGCGTTCAAAAAAAAAAGCAAGGTTTTGCAGTGCCAAGGATTAAACAGAGAAAGGGAGGGTGGTTTGACATGTGAGTATTACTGGGAGCTAGTTTCTCACTAAAACAATGTGTTTTCTCCTCTTTCCAGTCCGTAAGTGCAGCTGCTGCTGTTTCCTATCAGATTTCCCAGTCAGAATGAAGAAACTAAATGCTACTTACTATAGAGATCCTTTGTCAAAAAAGCTTTTATCGCAACCTAAACTTTGTACCAAGCACTAATAATATATTAAATCTATGTCAATTGCATTGAAGTACTAACTGTAGGAATATGGAGGAATAAGAATATTCACACTGTTTCAGTGTCTGCTGCTAGTTAATACTGAAAACTTGCTTTTAAATAGTCCTAAATTACATATAGAGTTTATGGATCACATAAAATGTAGTAATTATTTAGAAAACAAATTTTGTCTAAGAAAGTGTAGTATGCTATTATTGGCTAGTTCTCAATCTGTATCAGTTTTTTTCCATAAAGACAGAACTAATGTTAGTGGTTACATTTTCAAACCTCAGAGGGTTTTAAGGGTGAAATTAACTTGAGCGGTTGTTACAGTTTCATTTTGTTGACTCATTGTTAAATTGGTGTCACTTACTGGTCTGTCTTCTAGACGGGAGTCTGAAAGAAGAAACCACTCATTAGCTCGTCATGCAGACATCCTTGCTGCTGTAGAGACGAGACTCTCTCTGTTAAATATGACTTTCATGAAGTATGTGGATTCCAATCTCTGTTGCTTCATACCTGGAAAGGTAAAATGTAGACTGTTATGTGAATGTTTATCGGTGTTTAAAAAATATGATTGTGTAACTTAAATTTGTCCCAGGTTATATAATGTCCATACATATACTGAAACTGTGTTTCAGATACTTGAAAACAAACACACAAGCCAATGCTCTGCTGTAACAGGCAGTCTGAAATGAATGAACCAGACTATATCTAAATATTAATTATTCTAAACTTGATTTCCATTTACCCTTATATTCATTCTTGATTTTGATATTTGGCTTGTGGCATGTACATCCTACACATCTTTTTACAAAAAACACGATATGTAGTGTTCAATTCTGAATTTTAACTGTACAAAACAGCTAGAGGCTGGGTCATCAGAAGATATAGTAATTTAGACTATGTATAACACTAAGGACTCAGGAAGATTTAAAGCATCTTTCTTAAAGGTTTGAGTACCTCAGATTAATTGGATTAAGATATTTAGTATGTGGAAACACTGTTCAGTATTACAGTGAGTGTGGTATTTTTGTAAAGTAAGTGGAATTAGTTTTAAATGTAGATAAAGTGTGTTAAATGTTAACACTGCTGAACAATTCTGGTATTTCAGAATACCCAAACATAAAATATAAATTATAGAAGTGAGATATACATTGGAGATATCACTGTTTTATAAGGTGTGAAAACAGAAGTGCACAGGGGAATTAAAATCATGATCTGAGGCACACTGATGCAGCTCAGGGTTGAAACAAGATATGTGAACATTAGCATAATGCTCTATTTATTTATCTTTCCATGTGAGGTGTGGATATGTTGGTATTAATTTTTCATGGGCGGATAACTGGATTGCTCTGGGATAAATGGAAAAAGTTAGCTGTTGGATTCAGATGAAGCATGGCAGGCATTTCTACATTCAGTATGGTAGAACAGGCTGTCGGCATGAGTTGTATTTTTATCTTGAAGAGGTAACTTGATTTCTGTACACTCATGTTGACGTAATTTCACATTAAATTATTATAATTTAATATATTTACGCTTATTTGACTATTTTTATATATACCATATGATTTAAAAATGCAATGTTAGATTACATATTATATAGTATAAAAAAATATGATATTAAATAATACACTATGTGGTAATATATAACATAACATATATATTAAAATATAATTAAATATGTTATAAATTATATATACCGTATAATTTAAAAATGCAATATAACATAAAGTCAAATAAGCTTAAGTCCTTGATACTTGCCTAGTGGATGCATTACTTGAAAGAAATGTTGCCATGCTTCTTTGAGGGGTAGACAGGAAGGCAGTACTCAGTCTAGACCTGGGGTGTGCAGGAGCTGGGCAAGTGAGCTTGGCAGCCATTTTCCTTGTGGGCACTGAATCATAAGGACCTTCTCTGTATTCTGATACAACAGCTAAACAGTTTTGGGTTTTTTTGAGTTATTTACTTAGTGTGTGAGCTTGCTAGTGCTGCTGCTCTCTCAGCACAGTTAGCAGTTCACCAGAAAATCCTATTTTGGTCAAGCAGATTCAAGGCTTTGTGTTCACTTAGTCTGTGGTTCCTCCCTGCCACCTGCCCCGCTCCCCTCAGGAAATTTTGTTTGAATGAAGCTGCCACAGAACTGTCAGGAAGTGAACTTGCATTAGAATATGCAAATGCTGATTTGAGGTTTTGCATATTGTGTGAGGGTTCCTGATGATAGCAGAGCACTGCTGCAACATTTTGTGTTGAGGGTGGCAGGAGAATGCTTTGAGGATGTTGTTGCTAACAGGATATAATGTGGGTAAAATTGCAGAAGTCTTTTGTAAGCTTGTTGCGTGATAAGACACTTCAGTCTTGTCTAGCTTTTGCAACTTTTTAGCTAAGCTTCCTTTATTAAAACACGAGATGCAACTGTTGTCTTACCTATGATTCTAAGTTCTTAAAATATGTGTTCTTCAGGAGACTCTTCAACCATTTTTAATCCTGTGCAAAATACCTGTGTCAATAGTTTTAGTAATAAGAAACCAGCACTCCTATCTTGACCTGCCTCACACTATAATTCATAAATTAGCAAGACACCTTTCATCTCTCTGTATCTCTCCTAACCAAAGGGCTTGCTTATCAAACCTGTTAAGAGGGTGCTTATGTTCTCTGTCAGTAGTGGATTGATGTTTTATAAATTAATGTGTTTTGGACTTAATCTGGGTTTGCAGTATTTTCTGTGTATACAAGCGGACTCAAGTAAACATTTACAGTTCTTCAGACTGACATAGTGGTAATTGTTGCTATTGCATTTGTTTGTTTCGTATGCCTCATAACTGGCTGGGGGAGTGACTGCTCTGCATTGTGGCTTAGATTATCTTGCTTCAGGTTCTCCAGAAAGAAATGATTATGCTCTGCTGAGTATAGATTATATCACTTGGAACTCAAGTATGTGTGTAGTAAAACAAAATTTCACACAATGAACATTATTTCCAGAGTTTGAAGAGAGTTGCTGTGGTAGATCAAGTGAAGAGCTTCTCTGATATATCACAAACAGCACTTCATTTCAAAAAGCTGATGTAGAACTAAAGCACACAATGGTGTGCAATACATATGTAGTAAAAGCCCCTGAATATGACAGAACTTCTAGAATGATCTGAAATAATCTTGCATTTATCAGAAAATCCTAATTCTTCTTAAATGTTTTAGGTAATAGATGAAATTTATCGTGTGCTAAGGTATGTAAACTCTACAAGAGCTCCTCAGAGAGCTCATGAAGTTCTTCAAGAACTAAGGGACATTTCCTCCATGGCTATGGAATATTTTGATGAGAAGATTGTTCCAATACTGAAAAGAAAGATTCCTGGGTCAGATGTATCGGGACGTCTGATAGGAACTGCCCCAGGTATTAATTCCACCGTATAGTTAAGTTTTATTTAGTTTTTCTGTAAAAATTCACAGCATTGTATCTTTTTAAAGGTCCCTCCCTTAAATGCGAGCTTTATTACATAAATATTGACGATACTTGTTTCTTAAGAATACTAACTGAAATTAATTTGATTTGAAATTTAAGGAGCCTTTGTACTACCAAAAGAACATTCACTTGAATGTATGTTAGAATTACGCGTAATGTGTATTCATTAAACAAACACTTTTGTGCCACCGATGAATGAGACTTTATATCATTGCACTTGGTTGAAATTCAGCATGTGAGATGACAACTTGATGCCTTTTATTTTTAGGATGATCAGCAAATGAATTAGACTAAGCTGCTGTAGTACATAGAGAGTTAGAACATACTTGTATGTGCTTTTTTACTTTCTTAGGGCACTAATGTGTACACTAACAAGCAAAATACTTATGGGTAATAGTGAAAAGGCAATCAAAATAACACCCTATAAATAAACAATTAAACTGGTCCTTCATATACTCTGTCAGACTTTCCAGAATTTTTGTGAACCAAAGTCTAAGGTAGTTGCCTCATATAATGGCCAAAAGCAAAAGGTTAGTAGAACTGTAGTGTTTTTCCTGTGCTGGACATCTTCACACTTCTTAGGAACTGTGAAATTAACTCTGAAAGGGTAACTTAATAAAAAATAAATAATTACATCTTAAGGAAAAATTATAGGCCTAACTGTAGGAGCTGCTTGTTGTTTCTGGTATGTCCTGTCCATCCTTTTAGCCGTAAGTGTGTATACCACCTCTTAATTACATCCTGTTAATTATACCTCAGTTCCATTGAGTCTCTCGGTTGAGGAAGTATTGCCCAAAACCATAGCTGATGTCAGTCGGCTTTTCAAGGCCAAGGCTTTATGTGGCATAAAAGTGCCTCTCTCTTGTGTTGAGGGAGGAGCATAACCTATCTAATGGCAAGCCTTTAGAGTCACATAATTGCAGCTATGCTGGCATCGTAAAGGAAAGAAACGAGGAGGAGGAGGATGACTGTTCTAGCCTGTTCCAGGCTGTTCTGTCTTTGTAGTGCTGAAAAGTGGCATCTTGGTGGCACAGCATTGCTAGAAGAATAAAATGATAGAAAAAGTGATAGATATCTCATACGATAGAACAAGCGATAGATATCTCTTATGATAGAACAAGCTATAAGATAAGATATCTCTTACGATAGAACAAGCAATAGATATGCCTTACGATAGAACAAGCTATAAGATATCTCTTACGATAGAACAAGCAATAGATATGCCTTATGATAGAACAAGCTATAAGATATCTCTTACGATAGAACAAGCAATAGATATACGGTAGAACAAATGAAAGAAATTATACAGAACCTGTTAGTCTCCTTGATTTGCAGGAACTTTATTAAAACCAACAGTCTCAAGCTCAAATTCCAGTATGGTTTTAGTACTTAGGAAGAGTGGTTCTAAAGACACATGGGAAATAGATTCGTTTCCTCCAAAAAGTAAGTTAAACTGAAATATCTTGTTAAGCCCCAAACCACAAAATTTTAGAAATTTAGCTGTCTACAAGTAACAGTGCAGAATTGTACTGCTCTATGGAAATACATTTATTTAATATAACTATTCTGTCACAAGTAATTTTTAGATATGTTCTGGGGTTTTAACTTAACATCTGTGACACTAAGTCTAGATGACAACATAATATCTCTACGTAATTTTTGTTAGAAAGGAGGGGGGCTTTTATACAGAAAGTAAATGATGAGCTCTTTTGCAGACTACTGAAAATCTAGATATTTTAAATTAAACTAGTTGCGCTCTGAGATACCATATGCTCTTGTTACACACTTAAATGACTGTAAATCTGTTTACATGTTCACGTAACTTGCAACCAGTATTCCGATCCGTGTTTGGGGAGTGGGGATAAGCAAAATGTGGAAACTGGGAAATAATTTTTACCTTTTGTGTTAAAGTTTTAGACGATTAATCGCAATTTGCTCTGAAGTTCCAGGGCCTTCTGCAGCACTGACAACAATGCAGCTGTTCTCCAAGCAGAACCCTTCAAGACAGGAAGTCACCAAACTCCAGCAGCAAGTAAAAGCAAATGGCACGGGCTTGACAGCGCTAAAGCGGGAAATCTCAGAGCTGCGCATCAAAGTGCAAGAGCAACAGAAGCAACTCCAAGATCAAGATCAGAAACTGCTAGAGCAAACCCAGATCATAGGTGAACAGAATGCCCGATTGGCTGAGCTTGAACGCAAGCTGCGAGAGGTGATGGAGAGTACAGTAGGAAATTCTTCAGGTTCTGGCTCAAACGAACAATCTCCGAGAAAACGGAGGAAGGCGGTTGAATCCACAGACTGTCCTAGGAAATCTAAACGCCTTCGAAACAGAAAATAACGTGGGAGTAAATGACACCTTCAGGAGGATACACTGCTTTAGTAGCCCGAGCAGGTCTGCTTGTTGGGATGCTGTGACTAGCTTCATGGTGTCACTTAGGCTGCTGGCTCCTCAAAACACCACTTAGACTTGAACAGTAATTTTCTTTCAATGAGACTTTTCCCCTGCTTTCTGTATGGGTGGGCCTAATGCACAGAATCTTTAAGATTTGCAATAGATACATACTAACCAGACCTGCTCTGTTATGTTTTGAAGAGTTAATCTTATTTCTGTGCAGATGTGTTTAAAGTAAACTTATTTGTGTTTATGCGTATGTTCACATAAAATCTTAAATAAATTCAGTCTTAACTGACTAAAAAGTTAAGCGTAAAAACAGATGTCCTATTCGCTTGAAGGAAAGATCTACTTTTAAAATCTTGTTTTAGAGAACTTGACCTTTTTTGTTACAAGTGACCTTGTCTGGAATGTCTGAAAAGTAGTTAATACTTTTTGGGGATCTCTGTAATGAGTAAAACTGACTTCTTAAGCGACAGTATTGGCTATATATTTTTGTAAACTTACAAAGAAGGGCCTTCTAGCCAGTCTTCACGTGAACACACCCTAGTTCTAGGTCTTGGGAGCCATAATCTACATTTGCATGGGTAGATGCATGTACACCTTAGACTGCCAAAAGCACTTGCCTGAAATTGTTCTGAACTCTGGGAGAGAGTACAGAGACCTATGAAGCAATCAGCCATAACTTAGCATCTGCTTTCAGCACAACTGCTTTCTCATAATGAGGTGGTCTCACGAAGCTAGTTGCAGGGGAGTTTGAACCCAGGCTATCTGCCACTTTCACTGCCTGTAAATTGCAGGTGTTGTTAGCCAAAGCTGGAGAATTGAGAAGCTGCCTGTGCATCACATGATTCATAGGCCAACATCTAATAAGGATCAGACAAATTGTCCCTATAATAACCAAGCTCAGGGGGACACCATTTGAGTGAAATGATGTATTATGGAAAAACTTAAAACTATTTTGTGTGTATGTGTTGGGGGGTGGGGTGGGATGGAAATTTTTCTGTAACACTGATGAAGATATTCTAAGCTTTCCTTATCCTAAAAGATAAATCACTTCAGAAAAAGCTTTAATTTCGTTTACACTCCTGGTTTGACCTTGTAACTGGAAAAGCATGTCTTGCACTGTTCAGTCTCTCTGGTCACTTTATCAACATCAGAGTTGTGTACGGTGATTTTTTTTTTTTCCCCTGTCTGTATATTTTTGGAACCTTATACAGATACCGTTGTCCATGTTTTTGGTTTTAATCTACAAAACTATGTAGCTTTATCATGTGACTGACGGTATTTTTACTCAGCTGCTGCTTTGGATTTAGGTGGTACTGAATTCAACTTGGTGTGGCACTGAAAATGCAAATGATGCATTTGTAGCTTTTCAAAATCTTTGATACTGTTACCATGGGTTAAAGTGCAAGTTTCTGTTACCTTTTGTATGGCTGTCAGCATAAAGTAGTGGTTGTACTTAAATCACCAAACACATCAGAAATTGTCTGGTCAAATGTTACATAAACATGGGAGAAGTGACATTTTTCCTGACTCTTCAGCTACAGTTTTTACTTCTAAAACATATTAGCTCATACCAGAAGTAACATTGCAAATGCCTAGTTTTTGCAGACATTTACTTTTCAAATAAACTTGTTAAGTAGTTTGAATCTTTTAAAAAAAAAAAAAAAAAAGACATGTTTCTTAAGAAAAGCATGATGGAAATGATAAAAGGTTATCTGGTTATCTAGGGGAAAGGTTAACTGTTAAAGAAGCATTTACTGTTACTGGCCTTCCATGGCTCAGAACTTTTTTACTATCAAAGATCTCTTAAAGACAGATAACTGCTGTTCAGATTAAAAACACTCGCATATACTTCATCTTCTAAAAGATAACAATTTTGAATCAAAGGGTCAGCGTGATCGCTATAATTACTGTGTATCATTGGTGCAAATTCATTTAATGGTCATTCATGATGACAAATTCATGTAATGGTCTAATTACTAGATATTTGTGGTTAAATACTTCTAAACAAGTATAAACCTGTGAATTGCATTCACTGAAAAGGTTTATTTGTACATCTCTTAGTATCTTTTGATTTGCTTTATTAATTTCTAGAAGATGTGAACCATTCCCCCCAATATACAAAAGTTTCAGGTTATTGGAGAGTACCATTTATTTATATGTTGGTGGATCTCTAGCTGTGTGTAAACTGAGCTGGAAAGAACAACAGCCTGTTGTTACATGAAACATTCTCCGTGAACCGTGCCAACCTGGAACCTTCAACTCAAGGAAGTATGACGTGCTCCATGTTTGCAGGTGCATCCTGATCCTCTACATGCTACTAAGTATAGCAGAATTGAATGAAGCCCACCAGACTTAAGAGGCAGAGGGGCTGGCTATGAGCAAGCTCTGAGCAATGCCACAACAAAGAAAGGCACACTACTATTTCATTTTCACTTCGTGGAGAGGGAGACATTGGTATCAGATGGCGCTCAGATTGGAATATACACCAGTGGTATGGATAAAATGTCGAAAACAGAATGAACTAATAAGTTTAGAGAAAATAGCTGAACTTTAACTTCTGACACCATATTGTCTCTTATTAAATAAAAGGGATGCATTTTGCAATATGTGAACAACTTGATAAATAGCCTGAAGTAAAACTAAATCACTTCTGATTATAAAAGTCTATGCAAGTTTACATGAGTTGATATATCTGCCTCAAAAGTACAGTGTTAGCAGCGTGCTAATAGCGATTAGTGATTGTGTAATCTGTTCAAGGGAGAACCTCACACTAGTGAGGCTAAGATGTAGTTTACAAAGTTACATGAAAAATTGTCTTATGGGCAGCCAGTGGTTCAGTTTTAGTACTTGTAGCAAGGGCTGAAACTGAACAGCTCAGGGTTGCAAGAGAAAGCAGTGAATGTCTTTTATAGCTAGTTTATTAAAATAGCTTGAAACTACCGAGGCTAGCTTTCCTTCTTTTCCAGCTTGCTTTGCAAACTGCTTTTTGTTTCATGGCAGGGGGGGGGATTTTTTACAAATTTGCCTATCTAGTGAACATGGTGAAAATGGTATCAGAAGATATCCCAATGGTACGTTCTTCAGGGAAATGCTGTTTGCAGCCAGGTCTTGCTCCCCAGATTGAACAACTTGTGTGTCCATGCAGTATGCAAGCACCTTCTAAACAGGGGCTGATGGATGTAAGAGGTGGAAGCCCTGAAGGAAGAAAGACTTAACTGCTTAACAAGATTCATTTCTCAGGTTAAAGAGCAGATAGAGACAAATGTTCACATCTTCAATCCCTGACGCTCTCTCAGCATAGCACATGAAATTAATCACAACAGTTCAGTGATGTTATGAGGGTGCCTTCACGTAATTTCTTAACCTAAAAGGTAAGACTGTACTGAACAGAAACTTAGTTGCTCTTACAGAGATCTTCTAACAGTTAATTGTGGGAAACACTAAGATTGCCTCAGGAATTTTCAGCGTAAAGAGCCTCTTGAAAACAGGATGGCATAGGATGTAGTTAAATGTATCCTCAGACAGGAGGGGACTACAGGACTTCTTGGTGTTGCGGATGGTTTTAAGAAGGAAACTGGCAAATCACAGTGACAGACTGATATTTTGTTCATCAGTAAATTCAGTTTGGAGTATTTTATAGTAATGTGTCTGTTAGTTGTGAACTGTTCTGTACCAATTCCATCCCTGTGCTACTTTGCATTGTACCTGGACGAGCTCACTTGTCCATGTGCTCTCTGCTCTTGCAGTTGTGCTTGCTGGATCTCGCCTTCCTGGCTGGACGAGCATGCGCTGCCATCTTTGGTTTGCACATAACTGAACACTCTAAGATTTTTGTTCTAGCTTTGTGCCAGCTGAAGATGCATTAGGTACTGGATCTCATTGTCTTCGGATGGGAAAACGTCAGACACAAAAACTGTTAGCTTGCTGAAGACCTGATAGGTCTGGGTTTTTTATATGAACTGCTTAAGCCAGAAAAACTCGGTGGTTGAATAGGAAAAGCACTTTGCACTCCAGGACACTTGCGCAATTAAATTTTCCAAAACTTTCCTCTTTAATATTTGTCTTAGTTGTTTAAGCCTTGTTTGGCTGCTATGGAATGTTTGGTTTATCGATCTGGGATCTTCTATTTAATTACCCTACTAAAACTTGTGACCATTTACAAACCCGTATGCATTTGCTGTGCCGTAAACCTGGCTCTGTGTACTGAACTCTTGATGCTGCGTCTCTCCTCCAATGCGCCTGTCGGCAGCTGCAACCTTTCTTATTAGCAGATCCGTTCGCTCTGTCGGCAGGCTCCTTCCCACGGGTGAGAAGGTCTTTAGCGCAATGATGGACAGCAGTGCTAATATTTGAACTACAACAAGAAGGGAACATTCTTAGAAGCATTACCCACAGTGTTTAGAGTGCAGTTGAGTGAAACACTCGTGATCCTGGCAATTTTGCAGTCAGCTTCTGCACTGGTAACTCAAAAGTACGTCCTGGTTTATTGTGAAGCGGTCGCTGAGCAAAAAGTAAAACTGAACATCCGTCACAAGGACAAAATGCCTCGATGAAATCTAATCATCTGTTTTATGCTGCACCAGTCCTCATAAAGTCTACAAAATTCAGGTCATGTGACTAAGGAGGGAAAAATTGTGAATAGACTTTTCCATCTCTCTACTTGCTCCCTTTTTCACTTCTAATGCACATCCTAATACAGATTAAAAATGCATGTAAACAGAAATATTTACGAAGCTGTTATGTTTTGTAGATCCCGTGCTTTGTCCATTACTTTAGATTGTAAACATTTTCAAGTAGGGATTGCATTTCCCCAACATGTGCACAGTTGCGCATGGGGCTTTTAGCAGCTAGTACATATTAGCCCTTTTTATTAGTTATTACTAATAAATTTTAAGTGATGCATCATAAACCTTGAGATATTCATATTACTATGATAAGGTGTAATTCACTTTGTGATAACTTCCTCTGTTGTCTTTATCACTATTATTGATTTAGATTATTTTAATTTGAGTGGATTTATGGACAACTAAAATTCCAAGGAAGTAGTCACTCAATTTCTGCATGAAGTAATCTTTGTAACTGAACTGCCCACAGTCAAAATTATGTGACAAATAGACCAGGGACAGATTAAATGGAGTTTAGTTCTCACAGGGGAGTTTGT